ACAGGAAGAGCAGAAAAAGCACAAAGATATTCCACTTGCTACGTGATTAAACTTTCCTAAGAAGAGAACGAGTAGCAAATTTGAATTGTTTGTTTTGTAGAAAAGCAACCACAAGACAAGAAGTATATTCGTTTTAGTTCCAAGTTGTCAATCGGGTGCAAATGCAGCAAGGGGGTTTTGGGTTTCAACGCCATCTTACTACCGCCATCTTTTAACTGCAAAATAAATCAAGGACCTTAATGAAATAGTAAAATTATTCTGTGTTCGCCATTACTGTTGCTATTTTTAGATCAGCATCCACTTTGACCTAACACAACTGAAATTGTGTTTGCTTGAGCCTCTTGTCGAGTTTTCCGAATTGAAAGTTTTTGAAGACAAAATTAAAAAAAAAAACTATATTGGAAATTTTACAACATATTTTGGTCAGAATTTTTGTCGTTCTTTCCTTCCTTACGCTATGTGGCTTAGTAAGCTTTCTGGAAGAAAATTTAATCTCAGAAAAAATTGTCCTACAATATTTTCTGACTGGGTGAGGATCCAACTGCGTACAACTCGCCTTGAAGCTTATTTCATGCACATTTTCCATCTCGCCTTTCACTGCAAAACTGACCGTTCAAGTTCACACTGCTCTGTTAGCCATTGGTCATCAGTAGCCATTGTTAGCACTGCAATTGAGGTCGACACTTGAATACTCGTAAAGTGAAATTGACCGCCGGCTGAGCGCAAAGTTTATTTGTCTTCGTCTTAAACGAATTTCCTTTTAATACACTCAACAGCAGCACACAGCATGAGCTCATTGCAAGCGGATTATGTAAATTTTTTACATAAAATAGTAACAGAATATACACACAAATATACACACAAATATAACCAAGGACAGCAAGGAAGTAAGTCAGCGAGTTTTTTGTGTGTATCTGTGTCCATGCTCGCTCGCCTTGGCGTCTAAGTGCGGCCTTGTTAAGAGTTGAACACGCTCATATATCTTGGCATATTAAAAGCGTGGCAAAACGATTTACTGTCTCCCTCACTCTCTCCCACGCTTACACGTTGGCAGGGAGCAAGGATATATGCATGGCTGCCGGTTATGACAAATAATAATTTGTTTTATAGTATGGCAGTGCAGCTGGCGGTTCCTTTATAGATACGTTGCTGCTTTACTTGTATGTGTGCAATATATATATATATACATATACATATATTTATATTTTTTACATTTATGTGAGTACATTAATGCGAATGGTGGTAAAAATGCGTGCTTTTGAGGCAATAAAAAAATCATAAAATGTAAATGTATGTATGTATAAAAAACAAAAACATATAATATATATTAATATATATGTAAATGTAATTCCATGTACACACTCTTCCCTACAGTCACTCACTCTCCCCTGCGGCGAGTTAAATGGCAGCAGGCAACAATGATTGTGACGCTGACATCTGATGGTCACTTGAAATTGGTTTTTAGTAAAGTAGTGGACCAAGACTTTTACTAGGGTGGCCCTTACTTACTTAACATTTTGTGTACGTTTGTGGTACGAACAGCTTTACACTTGACAGACCAGACAGATATGCCATCAAATTGGCTACAGCAGCCTATAATGGCGGTGAACCATAAAAAGCTTTAAAGGGGTTGAACTCGAAGGAAATTCTAAGCACACAACCACACAATCTGGGGGCTAACAACCCTCGAAGAGTTATGTATGCGAGTTTTAATTTAAATTCTTCAAAGATCAGATGATAAATTGAATTTAGGTACAACAGTGCGTATACTCAACCACACCAAATTTTTTTAAAGAAATTAACCTTTTAAAGATTCCTATTTTATAGTTTTTTTTTTGTAGAAACTTAATTCAGTGCAAATTTCATACCTTTTGGCATATTTTTGTTTTAACTAGTACGGCTAGAAAATATTAAAAAGTTAAAAAAATTTTCGTATGAAATTTTCTATATTTCCCGGAAAGAGATGTTGAATTAAATTAAATATAAAAATTATTAAAACTAAAAGCAAATTTATTTACAAGTGGTGCCTTAACTTAATCCTTTGAATATGTGTGTACATATATATATATATACATTTCTAGAGGCTCTTTACGTAGCTTTAGCCTACAGCGAGCGTAGGCCTGCGTTCGTTTATGCTCTATGGTCAACAGCCGTGATGTTGCATTTAAAAGACATAAAAGTGAATTTTATTGCATTTTAATAACACATCAGCCGGAGAATGTGGTGTGAGTTAAACGTGTCTAGGCTACTGTTTTCAAAGCAGAAAATTTCTTCTTCGCATTAAATAGACGGCCCAAATATTTTCTGTTTTATTTGTTTTTTTAGTTCAGTAACATTTATATTTACTAGAATAACAAAACCTTAAGTTCACTCCAACTCTCTCGTTTTCGGGCGCTACCGCTTCGCACCTCATTGCTGCCAGTTGTTCGAGCGTAATTTTATTGCATTTTTATGTGCTGATAAGTGTTAAATAGATTTATATGTATGTACATATTTATTACGCTGCTTGGTAGAATCAGTGAGTATGTAAAATAATTATTGTAAATATAAATTGTGAAAAATGTTTCAAAATTCCCTAGTTTTTCCAAAAATATAATACATATATACTTGTCCACATATTTCTTCTCATTATTTCTTCGCATTTTCCACGTCGTGATGTACATAAATTTACGGCTGAGCATAAGCGAGTAGAAATATCATAAATATAAATGAACAAATAAATAAATATATAAATCACTTAATAAATAAATGAATAAATAAATAAATAAATAAAAAAATAAATAAATGAATAAATAAATAAATATATGAATAAATGAATAAATAAATAAATAAATAAATAAATAAATAAATGAATGAATAAATAAATAAATAAATAAATAAATAAATAAATAAATAAATAAATAAATAAATAAACAAATAAATAAATAAAAAAATAAATAAATAAATAATTGAATAAATAAATAAATCAATAAATAAATAAATAAACAAATACATAAAGAAAGGAATAAATAAATGAAAAATAAAAAATAAAATAGAAAAGAAAATAAACAAGCAAATAAACAAATAAATAAATAAAAAAATAAATAAAATATTAAATAGGTAAATTAATAAAAAAATAAATAAATAACTAAATAAATATATAGCTAAATAGATAAATAAATAAGTAATTACATAAATAAATAAATATTTAAGTTGATAAATAAATAAGCAAATAAATGAATAATAAAAATATAAATATGTAAATAACAAATAAAAAATTAGATAATATACAAAAATAATAATTAAATAGATAAGCAATTATACAAATAAATAAATAAAGTAAATAAATAAATAATTAAAAAAATAAATAAATAAACGAATACACCAATCAATAAGCAAATAGATTAATATATATATAAATAAATAAATTTATAAATAAATAAATAAATTAACAAATAAATAAATAAGTAAATAAAAAATTAATTAGATATGTAAATAAATAACTATTATATAACATAATAAATATTTAAATAAATAAATATACAAACAAACAAAAAACATAAAGTGAACAAACACATAAATAAATAAATAAATTTATAAAAAAAAGTGAAAAAGTATGCAAATAAATAAATAAAAGATAGATAGGTAAGTAACACATTTAAATATATTAATTTATTAAAAGTATAAATATCTAATATAAAAATGATATATGACATATAAACAAATATAAATGAAAGTAATGTAGAAAAAATTAGTAAATAATAAATAAACATTTAAGTATATTAATATCTTATACACAATTATATAAAAAAATATAAAAATGACAAATTAATTTAATGAATAAATCAAAAATAAACAATATATAAGGATATATAAGAAACATATACTCCTAAGTAAACGAAAGGATATATAAGAAACATATACTCCTAAGTAAACGAAAAATTAAAAAAAAATTAATGAAAAAAATATAAACTAATAAATAAATATATAAATGAAAAATAAGTAGATTAATAATTAATAAAGAACATAAAACTTAAAACAGGAAAAAATAAAGAAAATCTACTTTTTTTAATTATTAAAATAAAAAAATTGAGTTAAGAAAATCTTCAAAAACAAGCCGAAATAAAGTAATCCAAGAAAAACTAGAGAAGTGAAGGATTTAATTAAATATAAGAATGAAAATATTGTAATTTAGTGAGTAAATCATTCAATTAAAAGTAGTTTAGCCATTAAGAAATCACTATTTTTTTCAATTATTGAAATCATAAAGCAATGCACAAATCATGTGGCAAATATAATTTTCAATCCATTTGAATTAAGATTAATTTGGGAGAGGACATTTCCCATGAGATGTTTACCCGTGCCTTGGGTGCAAAAATAAATGTCATCCAAATGATTTAAATGATTGTCTTCCCTCAAAAGGCACTTGCACACGTACTAAACATGGCATGCAGGGCGTATACGTTACAAATCTCCATCTGCCCTCTTGTAAATACCTGTGTATTGTACTTCCACTTTACCAAAACTTGACATGAAATATTTTAGCTAATTATAGACTGCATATCAACGGTATACAACATATGAATTAATATATATAAATTATTGTATATTTGACACAAAACAAGTATCACTAGCATATTCCTACATATACGAGTATGTACTGGATACCCATAATAAAACACACATTTCCGTTTGGGGTCGACTGGGCGTATAATTGATATAACACAATTTCAGCAGAGGTGAGACGGAAAATAACTGTCATGTTACAAATGACACATCCAAATACACATATATGAGGTATGAATATGCATAAGCGTTACTAGGTATGCTTGTCTGGATGTTTGCCAAGTGTACACCAGTGTGTTTGTAGTAAAGTTTGTATGTTTGTATGCTTGTTTGCAGGTCAACTGGCGTTATGTAGGTCTGTCATGCATGGCTAGCCAAGTTGTTTGACATGTGTGAGCAAAGCTAAAGCAGCTATAAGTAAAACCGGAAATGTGATCGAGTGAATTTAGGCTTACCGCTGCAGGCATTCCTCGCGTCCGGCCAATGCCAATTTAACAATATCCGCAAATACCGGAATCACAACCCAATCATTTGGTTTCGTCACTGTCGCTGCACCGGTACCTGCACCACCACCACCACCAACAACACCAGCAGCTGTCATATCTACATTTGATGATTCGCCTCCATCGGTTTCAGCCATTGTTGCTATTGTGGTTGTTGTCGTTTTAATTATTTTTCTGCATGCCCCCGCCGCACGGCTACTATTGCTGCTGCTTGCTGTGCTATCGTTGCTGCTGCTATTCGCCGTGTTATTATTGTTGTTGTTGTTGCTATTGCCATTGCATGTTGCGTTTGCTTTCATTTCCGGTTTTAGTATTAATGTTGTTGCCTGTTCACCTGATTGACTACGCGTGTTAGTTGTTGTCGACGTAGTAACTCCCATTGGGACACCAACAACAGCCCCAACACTCTCACCAACAACGTCTGTTGGCAACAACAACTGGTTGCTTGACCCGAGTAAACAGTTACCAACGACTGCTGGTGCGACTACCATGCTTGGAAGTGTTGCTGAAGGTGTTGCTAACAATTCTGGCATTACCGTTAAACCATTTATTGTGGCACCGGCTGACGTGGTGTCCGACGTTGTGGTGTCGGCTGTTGCCGTACGATGATTTGACACACTTGCTGAGTCACCCACTGCACTCATTGCTGCTGTTGTTGTTGCTGCTTTTGTTGTTGATTTTGTTGTTGCTGCTATATCAGTCTTTTGTTGATGATGACTATGACTCTCGTTCAAAATGCTCGCCTGCTTATGCCACAAATCGCCATGTCCCTCAGCATGTCGTTGCATGCAATCCAATTGCTGACACGTCATTTGCAATTTGCTCCACTGAAATGTAGTACGGCGGAGACGAAAAGAGACAGGGCGGACGAAGGAGAAGAAGAAAAAGAGAAGTAAATGAACTAAGTGAGTTTAGTGTGTTGAGTAGCAACTGTACAATCAAATATATATATACATATAAAGGAATATAAAAGGCATATACTGCAACAAAGACTAGTGCTGAGCTTAGTTACTTACCGTAGTACATACATATGTATGCACATATACATTAACATTTCGTATTATGTTCGATATGAGAGCAAATCAAATTTTGTTACTCTAATTTCATTACTCTCCATTTTCTTTTCTGTTTGACCAAATTGAGTGCCCGAAATGATTTTCCATTATCTTATACTTAGCTTTTATTGTATGACGTAAATATGCTTCGCGCATACATGAATACACGAGTACATATGCAACGCAATATTAATGACGTATTCGGTTTGTCATAAAGTCGAGTCGTAAAATTTTGTTGCCACCAAAAATGAGACTTTTCCTTGGCGCCAATAAATGCATGTAATGGTGTTCAATAAATATATAGTCAATTACATATTTACATACATACATATATGCACATAAATCGCCGGAGAATTAAGTCATAAAAAATAGTATTAGTGATTTGCTGAAATTCATCATAAAAACCTTCCTTGGCATCAAGGGAAGACGAAGCGAATGAGTTCGGTGTCAAAAGCGCGGTCAGTTGGTGACATTCAATTTGGTTTTGTTAAATAAAAGAAATACTCAATTATTTTAGAACGATCGGCTCAAATGGAGGCGAGAAAACGCAAGATAGCTGAGGATAGGTTTTCGTTTGACAGACTGTTCGACAACCAACGCAAAAAGAAATTTGTCATGTGTGTCTCCTCGGGTTTTCGGTGTAATTTACAGTCAAAACAAATATCCAGTGAATGTTAAATTGCCAATAGAACTTTTTCCACGTCTCTAAGGATTATTTCTAAGTGATTACGAAGCTTGCAGACCGGACATTTTTCCTTAGAAGACAAGCCCCCAAAAGGTCGACTAAAGTCATGCACTGATGACGTCACTGACTATAAAAGATCTCATCGAGACTACAAGAAAGATTTATTAATTTCTTTTTCATCAAACTTAAAGTGGTTTCCACAATTGAAAATGAATCTAGCTTTTGAGTCGGCATTCAATTCGCAACAAAACCAGCGGCATATTCGAACGTTAAAAGCCTTAAAATCGATGGCAATAAGGAATTGTCGTCAAAAAATGCTCCCATTATGTCCTATTGCGGACTGGATAACAGAGAACTTTCTGGCTGCCAGTGTTCGGTGCGCATGGAAACTTTTCGACAGCGGCGTCTGATGATAACCACTCTATTACGAGGGCTGCTTTTAAAATTTTTTTAATTTCGGGCTTAGAGAACAGCAACAAATAATAATCGTCGAGCATCGTTTTATTATATTCTCCATTAAGATCTAAAACTTCTGCATGCGGCTGATGCTGAAAGACTTTTGCCACCCTATACGAGGTATCTCTAAAACATGTAACAAAACATAACAAAGAAAAAAGTGTAAAAAGCGTAAAGACATAAAAATCAGAATAATGAACCAGGTAATACAAAATAAGCATTCAAAATCATAAGTCTACAATTCTTCGAATGCAAAATCAACGACAATACATTGCGATCAATCAAAAGGCGTGGGGAAGACCTACTTTCCGGTCGTTATAGCTAAGGTTCTAGCAAACTGGGAGATCGGCAGGTATTTGGTAGCAGATAAGACTTAAAATGAATAAGGTTTGGGGTCCACATTAAGCGTCAGGTCATGGTATAAGCGCTGTTAGTACCAACGGTACTCCTGTGACAGTGGCGAATCGATAAAGCCAACTTGCTTGGGCATGACAGGAAACTCAAAAATAGCAAGTGGTGACGAACCTATATGAAGTGGTATCCTGGTTAGCGTCTGTTCACCAAGTTATGTTAAATAAACTGCAAAAACATATAAGATTTAAGACACGTCCAGCATAGTAGGATAATACATATCAGATATCCTCTCGAAGGAGGTGTTCTTCCGGCGCATAAATCGTTTATGACTAACGGTATCTAGCTTTGCTAGAAGCGCTAAAACAAATACTAATTGATGACGAAGCTTGAGCAATGTGGCTACGGCCCATCAACGTCGAAAAAGCAACAGAGCTGGGAGCATATTTCGTTAGTAGAAATAAAAAAAATGTAAGGAAGTCAGGTAGCATATCCCCCAATGCTGAAAGGAATCATTTGTTAACCATAAAGGATATTTTTTTCCAGTAAGTAAACATTGCTTAAACCCATTAAGGCGACATTTTACTTCGTATACGAACGTCAAAGTGATAGTGTCTGATATTCCAATTAATGCAGATAACTTTCAGTGTAGTAAGATGTTTCGATGAGACAGTTCAGAGCTACGGTTGTTAGAAATTTTAATTTGGAGTGATAACCTACGGTGTTTTCAGAAGCTGAATGAGTATAGCAAAGTGCTATTTCTCCGAGTTGGGCTATTTAAAAGTCTCAAGAAACAAAATTTTCATTTGATACTGTCAAGTCATGGCAAAGGATGGGAGGGTTCCCAAGTTTCTTACTAAAATGAAATAAAAGTTTTGCAGAGAAATCCATCAGCTGTTAGGTTTGAGTCCCTACAATTAGGCACGGAACAAAAACTAAAAGAAGACTTCACCTAATGTATCTTAGATCTACGCAAAGTGTGTAAATGGTTTTCTGAGGCAGGCCTGTCTTCAACTGAGTCATGATCGAACAAATTTAAAATTCTGGAATTCATCAGAACAATCCATAAAACGAACTCCATGGCGAAGGTGATATTCTCGTGCTGTTTCTAAACCAAAATCGAAACATTTCCTTTCTGTTTTGCATAAATTCCAGCCTTCAAGGAAAAACATCAAAACGCTCACCACAATACGAGCATTACTTGCACCGAAAATAGTCTAAGTCCACTGACGAGTCTGATATAGAAAGTGTCTATCTCTCTATTTTCCCTCCTCCATTTCAAGTTTTTTGAACTAGCTTTAAAGCTCTGAAGAGTCCAAGCAGTGCAAAGTATAGCAAATGTATTGGTTTAATTTGAGACACTCATGACGAATTTGATATCAGGAGTACAACTTTGCTTGCGCAAAAAAATTCTAAAATTAAAAGCTTTATTGCGAAAAAGTGCTTACAGATATATTATTCAAAGTATCGTCCCTCGCTAGCGACAACTTTCTCCCATCTTTCCGGCAATTTTCGGATCCCGGCTCGAAAAAAAGAAGTCCTCTTTTGACGCTATTTATGAAGCAATCCATTTTTCCATTTCTACGAAGGATTGAAAATGTTAATCTGCCATGCCGTGTGCCATCGAACGGAATAGATGGAAGTCAGAAGGAGCGACATCTGAGGAATACGGCGGGTGGGGCAAGACTTCCAATTTCAGCATTTCCAGGTACTTTTTGACCACTTTTGTGACGTGAGGCCGGGCATTGTCGTGTTGGAGGATGACTTTGTCAAGTCGTTCTTGATATTGTGGGCGCTTTTCTTTTAGCGTGCGTCTAAGGCGCATCAGTTGCGTTCGGTAGCGATCTCATATGATGGATTCACCCAGTATTATGAGCTCGTAGTAAATCTTTGAATGTTTTTTCTCTTCGACATCGAAATCACCATTTTTAAAACGTTGAAACCACTCTCGACACGTTTTTTCACTCAGAACAGTTTCTGAGAGCATTCGATGCGTTTCAGCTGCATATTTTTCTGAATTGGGACAGAAAAGTAAATCTTCCCGCAAATGGCACTGTCCACACTCACTTTAAAGGCATTATCATCCATGTATTTCAACCAGCCTCAGAAGGTTGTACCACCTATCGGAAAATGGCGGAAGCAATGTTGTACACCTGATATTAGACTACAAGTACATATAAAAATATGTTATTGGTGCTTTATAACCGCTGAAGTGATTTTCGTCTGAGTTCCTCATTCAGTTTGTGGTTTTGCGCTTTGATGTTTTTCTAACAAATGGACGGACCTACAAGTTTATACTAAGCCATCTCCGAACAACTGATGAGGGGGGCGGTTGATATTCGCTGCCGATTTAAATTCAGTTTAATTTTTTTAAATGATGTGACTTACGCGCGCCATCTGGTGGATCCCGTAAATCCGTGAAATCTACACGTTGTTTTTGTAGCGTATTTTTTCCTCACTGCAAAGCTTTCCTGTTGAATTCCCTTCAAGACCAGATAATAATACTCATGATGAAACATATAAACATTTTGTCATATCAAAGCATAAATCAGCGAGTGGAGAATTGCATTTGATACGAGCAAATGCGAAGGAAAAAGCAGAGAAGAGTCGATGTAGGAAGGACGGAAGAAGGAAATGAACAAATTTTATGATGACAGAAAAGCACAAGTTAACGATATGGGCTCCTACCAGTACAAATTCAATGCGAAGTAAGATGATTGGTGACACCAGAAGCGACACCGACAACAACAACAACGACCAATGGTGATGACGACAAATCGGCGAAAAACGTCATTGATGGCAATGCTCGAGTTGAAGCATTTTATTTGAGCAAATAATAAGTGGTAGAGAAGAGAAATGCCGAGAGTCTATAAATGTGTAGGCATTTATGTGAGTGTATTTGTGCGAGGCGTTTTGCGATTGCCAGAGTACGCGCCATTGATGCTGAAGTAATTGTGGCGGCATAAAAGTGCAATGAAATGTTGTGAAAAGTGCGCAAATTGAGGGAAAACGCCAAGGGTCGGCTGAAGATGGCAATGGAATGAAGTGCGCTTTATGCGTTCGAAAGCTCACCGAACTCGCAGATATTTTCATTTACCAAGAGGGAAAGCACACCAATTTACAAATATACCTACGTCCTGGCATTTAAATGCTTATTCTTTGGATTTTATGTATGTTTCTGCGATTGCACTGCTCCCTTCGACTGCCGCTGAAGACTATTACGATTGAGCTGGCTTTGACGCAGAAGAGCGGCGCAAGTGCTAATCAAGATTTCATGACT